AAAGCAACATCACTCCCATGGGGGAGGTACTTCCCCCTCCAAAACATCTGTCAGATGTTTCCTCTTGATCTCTTCCCTCATATGATACAATCTGCTTTTYTCAAATCTTACAACGTGGTTCAGGAAGCAGAGAGGAAACACTCATTTATTTTGGACATTATACATCACAGCACTCATCCTATTTACAACTGAATTTGCACATTCTACAACATGTTTGGTAAATCACTTGTCAAAGGAAAATTCATTTTATATACTAATGTTTTGCTCTTTTTTCGTAAAAGCAATGGTCACTGTTAAGGTGCTTTTCCATAAAAGAAGTCTCTCTACCTCTGGTCTAACCCTTTGGGGTTCTCTTTACATCCACCTCCAAAACCCACTTTTAACCCGTTTAATTCCTTCCCAGCAATTTCTTCAATAAATTCACATTACAGCTCCTCCCCCACCTCAGATCCACTCCTCTTTTTTCACACTTTGATAAGTTCTCACACAGAACCAGTTTTTCCCTCTGCAGTGCAGCCGGTGTGTCCCCATGGAGAGGATCATCACTTTTTTTTCCATGAATATGAAAGAGATGTGTGCACACTTTGCTGTTGTGAGTCCTTACTACACAGGAATAAAAACTTACAAATAAGACACTTGTCTGCAATCATTTCCTGTGTGCAGGTGGATGTGGAAGAGGGTAATTGTTCCTTCATCGTGGAGTATTTCTTTAAAATACGGTGAAAAAAAACTAAATTGGCAACTCACTCTGGGATTTGTTTGGCCACTTACAAGTCTAAATGGCCTTGAAGTAAAAACAAGGTACAACAGTAATAAGATGACAAGTTTGTTCATGAGAGATTCTCTACATGGGAATAACAGGAGCAAAACCAATTCTGTCCTTCAAACAACCGTTCTTAACTACAAAAGACAATCAGACAGCGACCTGTTCACCAGAACTGTGGAAGAAAAAGAGAGCTTCTAAAAGGTCTCAAAACATTTGCAATTTTTATGCAGGAGTTGTAGGACCTCGCACTAATATTGATGGATTTTTGAATATGTACTCTATCAGCTTCAATTATAAATATGAGTATGGGTACAATGTGGGTAGAGATGAGCAGCGAAATAATGTGCATGGCTTCAAATACAGTTTTACCCAGTATTCATATGGTCCAGATTTGTTATTTGTCAAGCCTAATGGTTAACAACATATTTTCCTTTTTTTCTTACAGTTTTGTGTCTCTATTCCCCAACAATCACAGCCCAGTAAGATGAGGGGTTTGGTGGTTCAGGGGGACCTATGCCCTCTGTACAGAAAGGAGCCTGTTAAGATGATCTGATAGGGATTCCTTCTGGACTCCTTCCAAGGGAGGTGTGTCGGACATGTCCCACTGGGAGAAGATCCCGACTTATTGAAAAGAAGAAACTACCAGTCATAGGTTTTACACACCCTCTTATTCACTGTCTCTGTACTTTTCCCTTTTTTTTTCCTCCTACATTGCAAATCAACACTAAAATCATCCAGACTATGAAGGAACCCAAAACCGAAAAGCGCCAAACAAACCAAAATAGACCCCAGATTCTAGACCACTCAAAGCAGGTATCCTTTGCTCTGACCACACTCTGACCACACTCTGACCACACTCTGACCACACTCGGGCCATTCTTTGGAACTCCTTCAACACTGTTGTAAAATTGTTCCAGGTGATTACAGAACCTCATGAGGCTGATTGAGAGAATGGCAAGAGTTTGCAGCTGTAATAAAAGCTAAAGGTGCCCCTTCTTGAACAATCCAAAACATATTCTGKTTTGTTCAACATCTCCAGGCTCACTACATGAGTCTGGACGACACCAGCACCAACTCACAATGCAGGAAAAGAAAAGAAAAAACAATAAAAACTTGGAGAAAGTTTGTCCAAACATTTGTCTGGTGGTCTCTCTCAGCTGGGAACACCTTGGAGACCCTCCAGACCCAAATAAAGCTTATATTAATTTTTTATCTGCCTTTGTTCCTAATTTTATTATGATCTGAAACGTCAAAGTATGTTTTTCCTCTACATAACTGCCCATGGGGAAAAGGATTTAATGTGTGTTTTGTCGCCTGTCCATCACTTGACACATCTTGGTTGAGGGGCTTTACAAAACAAATGTCCACGTTTTTTTAAAATGGTATTCATCGTATGATTTTCCAAGACATGAGCCTTTTTAACATGTTTTTACATCTTTTCCGTTACTTTTACTAGATTTTGTTTTGTATTCTTGTTTTAAGGACACAAAATGCTTCCAAAAAATTAAATAAATAAAACAGAAGGTGAATCATTTYTATAACTTTCATGGCAATATCTTGAACATTAAGAAAGTTATGAGCACCAATAGAAAAAGAACAAGGAGAAAGGGTCACAAAGGTCCCTTTGGTTTAGCTGTGAATTATAGCAGAAATCCTGAGCTTGGTTTTCAGTACAAATACATCCGTAACTTCCATAATACTTAAGATAATCACATGATTTTGGATCCGTTTTGGTGGCCTTAGGATCGCATCTTTGCTTTTTGCGGATGATGTGGTCTTGTTGGCTTCATCGGAACGTGATCTGCAGCTCTCGCTGGAGCGGTTCGCGGCCGAGTGCGAAGCGGCTGGGATGAGGCTCAGTGCCTCCAAATTCGAGGCCATGGTCTTGAGCCGGAAAAGGGTAGAGTGCCTTCTCCGGGTCACGGGGGTCGTCCTGCCTCAAGTGGAGGAGTTTAAGTATCTGGGGATCTTGTTCACGAATGGGGGAAGAAGGGAGCGGGAGATCGACAGGTGGATATGCTCAGCGTTTGCTGCAAAGCGGGCACTGTACCGGTCCGTTGTGGAGAAGAGAGAGC